CAGTTCCCCGTCCTTCTTGACCCGGGGAGCCCCGAACTGGACACAGCGCTCCAGATGTGGCCTCCCCAGGGCAGAGCAGAGGGGGAGGATGACCTCCCTCCACCTGCTGGCCACACTCTGCTTGATGTTCAGAGCTGAGGTTATTTTCCTTGCTGCCAGGGCCAGATCCTCCCTTTTCCCACCCCAGCTTTGCCACAAGGAAAAAAAAAAGCAGAAGAAAAGGCTCTGCCTGTGCCAGCCCGGGCCGTGCGTGGGTGGGATGAGCCCCAGTGGGCACCGTGCCCTGACCAGCTCTCCTTTCCACAGGTAAAGGCCAGGCCAGCGCCACGCCTGAAAAAAAAAGCTTGTGATGCTAAAGCGGGGGGGGCGTTGGGATGAGCACCGAGTGCGGCGGTGCAGAGGGGAAGCTGCTGCCCGCGACACCCCACAATGGCGCCGACACCACCGCGCACCCCGACAGCCCCCTGTGCCGCACTCGGAGGTGCGAACGCTGGCTGACGAGCGCAGTGCGGCCCCTGCTCTGACGTAAGGGCTGTGCAAGCACCGACGCATTAAGAAACGGCGTCCAGGGAGGTTTTGTGCTGACAGCTCCAGCTCGAGGCTGACGGAACTCCAAAGATGCTGCTTTGCAAAGATGCAAAGATGGGGCAGCACTACCTGTGGATGGGCTCCATCCTCATCCTCACTGCTTGCTGCTCTCCTCCTGGACCAGGCACCCATTCCCCCAGGGGAGGAGGCCCCTGGCAGCCCAACCCACCACCCACTGCTCCCGCAAGCACCCATGGGTGCTGCAGGTGTGGAGGATGCTCATGGAAAGAGCCCAGGATCCCCATGTTGGAGCAGTCCAGAGGGTGTCACCGAGACCCCGAGACCCCCACCAACCTCTGTGCCTGACTCGGGGATGAAGCTTTTAATGGTGACGGTTTTCCCTGGAGCTGGGAAGGGCGATTCCCGAAGGCCCTGCATGAAGGGGTAAATCACCGCCATGGAGATCTGACGCCTCTTCTCCACCTCATCCAGGATCTGGAGGAGAAAACAAGTGAGCTGTGAAACCTCGGCAGGCAACAGGGTGTCTGCCGGGGCCACCACCGTGCCAGATGGAGCCAGCACATCCTTACCTTGGAGAAGAGCCCGAAGCAGCCCAGGCAGCTGATGATGCAGAAGACCTCAGGGAGGCGGACACCACGGCCGGATGGCTGGAAGAGGATGGGAAAAGGGTTTGAGCATCTCCCAGCCCCACTGCACCAGCTCCACGGTCTCCCTAGAGAACCCCCCTGGCCCCACTCACCCCCCAAGAAGATGCCCAATCACCCTCTGGGGGATTTTCAGAGCTGGGGCTCAGGCCATGCTTGTTGATACAGTTGATGCTGTAAAAGCCAGGGTTGCCCGGAGAAGGCAATTCAGATGCCAAAGCTATTAATAATTTTTGTGCGAAGCCCTCTGGCATATCCCCAAACTTTCCTCCACCCCAGATACACATCCTTCAAGACCTCCTGCCCCACCATCCTCGGGGCTAAGCCTGCCTCCAACATAAACAGGGAACAGCGGGATGAGTTCGATCCCAGGCTGTTTTTCCCTTTCCAGCTGGATTATGCCAGGTCCATTAGCTCTCTGCACTTTCAGCCCTCCAGACATGCGGTTCAAAGAGCCAAAGCTCAGCCCTGGATGCAGAAGTGGGCGGGTTCCCCAGGGAATGACAGGGTGGTGGGATCCAGCAAGTCACCGAGCCGTGGTGTCCCTATTCATGTCCCTATTTAAGCAGACTGTGTGTAAATCAGCAGCCAAGGCGTCTCTCCATCACACCTTGCAGGCCCCGAGCTGGCCAAATCCATGAGCTGAGAAAGGCAGCCACTGCTCAGAAGCAATTTTTGGGGATGGTGCTGAGGGCACCCATCTCCTTGACACTTGGATGGGCACACGCGCATCCCCATCTTGATCCTGAGTTGGATTTGCAGCCGTCCTGAGCACTGCGGCCAAGGGAAAGGAGCCAGGGAAGCTGCGGGAGATAGGTGGGGGCAGTGACCACCAGTATGGGGAATGGCACCTCCCAACCATCGCTCATCTCCTGGTTGCATTTCAGGCCAGCCCTGGGCTCCGGCAAACACTGCTTTCCTCCACCCAGCACCCAACAGGAGCCCCAGCAGAGGAAAGCTCCAAAGAAATCCCTTTGGGCACCCCCTTGCTGCCTGTCATCATCTTTGCCAAGGCAAGTGGCTTTCTAGGGCATGTCCCCAAGAGTTGTACTTTGAGCATGGCAGAAGGCATCATGTCCCAACACAGGGTTGGGGTGGCACGGCCACCACCGACCCAGCGATGGGTGTATGGGCAGTGGGATGCTCAGCAGCAGCTGCCTGCAGTAGCCGCCGTCCATGTTGGTCAGGACAAAAGAAAAGGTTTCACTGCAAGGAGAGACAACGCGTGGGGATGGGACGGCTCTTCCAGCCCACAGCCCTCAGGGGTACGGCAGTACGGGGTGGGAAACCACGGGGGGGCTGAGACCCCACAGTGGGGCAGGTACCTGGTGAACTCAGTGACAGGGGCCCAGTTGTTGCCGTCGGGGAAGCAGAAGAGGGGGATCAGGACAAAAGAAAAGGTTTCACTGCAAGGAGAGACAACGCGTGGGGATGGGACGGCTCTTCCAGCCCACAGCCCTCAGGGGTACGGCAGTACGGGGTGGGAAACCACGGGGGGGCTGAGACCCCACAGTGGGGCAGGTACCTGGTGAACTCAGTGACAGGGGCCCAGTTGTTGCCGTCGGGGAAGCAGAAGAGGGGGATGGCCTTCAAGAGATGTTCCTCCTCCTCCTTCTGGCCCTTCAGCAGGTTCTCACGCTGGAACGAAGTGATGTCAGGGTGATGGCGGGTGCCCATAGCACCAGGGGATGGGGTGGGGTGGGGTGGGGTGGGATGGGATGTGTCCCAAAGCAACACCTGGCTCAGACCAAAGCAGAGGGTGCCTGCACATTCCTGGATCTCCCAAAAACATCACCCAAAAATCCAATTTTGACTCTTTTACCCCATGGCTAGTGGGGCAAAGCAGAGGCACCCAGGGGCCCTGCTGCAAACAGGGGGTCTCCTCCTGTGCCACCTCCCCACCGTGTGATTTCTCTGCCGTGGGATGGGCACCGTGTCATGGGATGGGATGTGTCCCCTTTTGGGGACAGGAGACCAGGGAGCACCCCGGGATTTTCCTTCTGGGGTTTGTGGCCCAGGCCTTGGACTGCAAGGAGCAATAGACGGTCCCAGCAACCCCAACCACATGGGTCTGCATCTGCAACTCCAGGGCATGAGGTATTTTGCTGTTCTCCTCCCCCCACTCTAGTGATGGGGAAGGAGCAACATCCCCTTTTCCTCTAAATTCGGAAAACTCATCTTCCCAGAAACACAGGACTAAATACCTTTGGGAACTGATAGGTTATCTTGGGTTCATAACGTCCATCTGACATCTTCTTCAGTGACACCACCACCAGGTACTCAAAGAAAAACTGTCCAGCAGAATAGAAGACGGAGCTCCGCTCTCCTGGTTTCCCCTGTGGCACCCGCGAGGGGTTGTTTTCCTTCTTTCCTTCCTCTTCTTTTCCTTGTGTAGCCAAAAAAAACCAACCCAGAAAACAGAGCAGAGTGAAATGAAAGGCCAGGAGGTGTCCTGGTGGCAGGAGAGGGGATGCAGAGCTACGCATGAACCAGCCAAAATGGCTGGAGGGAACCTGGACCTGGTGCACAGGGTGTTTTGGACCCCAACAGCGAGCAGCTGGGGACATGACGGCACAGGACACGGAAAGGAAAGAGAAATGGCTTTTATGAATCTTTTGGAGAAAATCAAAGTGCCGTCAGACACCCCCAGCCCTCCTTCACCCCATCCCAGGGAGGGCAGAGGGACGCCCAGAACAAAGCCGGCACGTGGGACGGCGGAGAGCAGACGGTCTCTGCAGAAAGCATCTGCAGGAAGGTGTGGGAATGTTTTTACAGCAGTTAATTTTATTCCCTTAGGGGAAAAAACAGCAAACAAACAGCACAGATCTTGTTTGAGCACCTCCGAAGGCTCCAACAAGATGAATCCCAACCTCTCCCTGCCAGATGTCCTCAGTCCTGGGAACTGCTGATTGCAAATGGGATACTCGAGGGTTTTCCCTAAACCACAGCTCCCAAAGCAAAGCAATTCCCTGAGATTACATCCTATTTCTTGTTTGGCCGGTTAGGGAGGACAGCTGGGGAGTGTCAGCTGTCACAACCCGAAAAATGAGAAATAAAAGTGAAAAGAGCCCAAGCCGACATCTCCAAGGGCTCTGGGATGACCGTGGTGGGGCAGTGAGATCCGAGGGCTGGGGAGGAATGGAGTTAAATGCTGGTGGGAGGCTGCAGCCAGGCCATGCCACAGCTCGTCCCTCTCCCGGCAGCCGCTTGTGACTCTCTAAATCCCCGGTTCCTGGCACTGAAACTGTCCCGGGCTTGGTCTTGGCTCTGATTACGGCGTGGAGCTGGAACAGAAATGTTTGAGCTGCTCCGAGGAATACCAGGCGGGAAAATAAATGTGTGGCTGGATGAAATAACCAACTCTTGCAAATTTCTCCTGCATCCCAGCGTTTGGCCCTGAGCTCTTCTGGTTGTGCCGCAGCTCAGCAGGGCAAGGCATGGCCGTGGCCGTGGTCGGCTGCTCCCATCATCCTTCTCCCCCATGCATGACATCCTCCTCCAAAAGCAGTGCTGGTGGACACTCCATGCCCCGTATCGCACTGGCTCCATAGCCGCCTTCTTTAGTCTGGAAACACCTTTCCAGCCTTTGCTCCAGGTCATCAGGAGCCGATGGGAGCAGAAAGCTCATCTGAGGAGGTGACGCTCACAGTCCCATCCTGGGATGTCCTTTCACAGAAATGCCTTTCCCAGCTCGGGGCGGGGACATGTGTGAAGCCGCCCCCGCGTGTACCCCGAGGCAGCTCCACCTCCGCATGCAAAGCCTTTCCTCTTGGCAAGGTGAAATTCTTCCCGAAAATGTCCCTCCACAGCAGGGGGAAGCCCAGGAGCATCCTGGGGATGAGACGGCTGCAGACAGTGCTGGTATGTCCTCGGAGGTGGTCACCCAGGTGACAGCCCAGCAAGGTGCTGGGCAGGAACAGGGAAAAAAGGTCAACAAGATGCGCTTTGCTTCTCCCACTCCACCTTGGGATGCTCCAGCAATGGCCTCAGCGGTGCAATCTCACCTATGGGGCCAGGGTAGGTGGTTGGTGCTGGGGAGACCCCAGGGAACCGTGCTATGCAGCGGGGAGGGATGCTGGCATCCCCCATCCTCTCTGGACACTCTCGTTGGTTGTTTTCCCATTGCAGATTGCCAGGGTAAGGTGAAAGCCCGGTTAAACCCTGCCTATCCAGTCCCATCCTGCATTTCGGAGAACACAAGACGCACTCTCAAGCAAGGGCTGGATTTGCATCACGTCCACGGTGTTCTCAAACAGCCGAGTAAAACCTGTCGTGCCGGAGGGGGTCAGCCATGTTGGGCTGCAGGTCTGTCTCTCACAGACAGACCCACGCGCCTGCCCAAAGCACGACCCGAGCCCTGCCGAAAGCATGGTATCACCCAGCAGCGCTCCCCTGCACTGGGTCTGGTTGCAAAGCCCACACTGACAGAGGCTAAATCCCTCCGGGACCGTAACACTTCATCCCTGGGCTGGAAAGACGAGTTCTGGGAACGTACAGGGCCATTCACCGTCACGCAACGTTGGACAGGTTTAATGTAGCGTCAGAGGTCTCAGCACTCCCCAAAAGCAGCAGGATTCGCAGTCCCGGGGACACAAGCCAATGTCACAAGAGCTTTGGCCAACGACTCTCCCCGAGCCCAAGTGGGGAAGACTTGAGGATCAACCCCAGTGCCCCCCAGCAGTGGGAGCATCCCCTGAGAGGAGGGCACTGAGCTGGGCGGCCAGGGGGGCTCCCCCCGCTCCTGGATGGAAAGTGGCTGCCGCTGCCGTGGATTTTCACCCCGGCCTCTGCCGGGCATGGAGAGGGCAAAGGCTGCTGCGGTGCGCCTGGGCCCACGCGGAAATGGCACCGGGGCTGCTGGCGTTAAAAGAAAAAGTTTTTGCTACACAAACAGCTTCCTCGACCAGAACGGGGTTTTCTTATCAGCTGAGTGCTGCGCTCAGACCCATGTTGTGATGTGGCACAACCTGTTTCTTTCCTCCCGTAAAACTCCTGAGCTGCGGAGTGCCGAAAGCTCCAGGCGCAACTGTTTGTGGGGGAGCTCTGCTTCTCACGCCGCGCAGCCGCCCACCTGCCCCAGCAGAGAGGAACTGGCTTTTGCTTTATCAAAGCTTTTCTGCTGAGCTCGGAAAAACATATATCGCACCCAGAGCAAGAGCCAGCCAGCACAAAACAGACGCGAGGGGGGAATTTACAGTGAGCCCCCCCCCCCAAATCCACAGGTTGCCCCAACTTGCTCAGCTGTGGCTTGACATATAGCAGGTCAGAAAACCCCGATGACCCATGCTGTATCTCGGAAAAGCTCACAAATCCCGAAGGACCAATTTCTGCACCATACTCTAAAGGCTCTGCAGCACTGACCTGCCTCGGGGCCACCGTGCCCACCATTGAGGGCTGGACCTGGCATGTCCCAGCCAGTGTGAGGGCTTGCGTGCCCACTTTGCCCCCGATGCCACATTCCGGCGTGCCCTGCGACGCTGCGCTCGGTGGGAAAATGGCTTTTGGGGATGTGGTAATAGGAAGCCTGTGGGGCTGCCCTTGGGACGTGGGAACCTCCTTCCCCCCTGGGGATGGGGGATTTGGGACTCATGTGGGACGGGGTGGGCTCCCAGGGGATGGGGTGCAGCTCCCGGGATGGAGTGAGCCCCTGAGGATGGAGGAAGCCCCGGGAGATGCGGTAAGCCCCGGGCGAAGGCAGCCCGAGCTGTGGTCCGCAGGGTGAGCGCCTATGGCAGGGCTTGAGGAGACCGAGCCGGTGCCGGTGCCGGGCCCCGACCCTTCGGTCCCACCCGGCGTGGGCGCGCTGCGCTGCCCGGGAAAGTCCCCTCTCTGCCGGCAGCCGTCGGTTCCCGCAGCCGCGGCGCCGGGGCTGGCACCGGCACCGGGCCCGACACCGACACCGTCACCGGCATCGGCACCGGCACTGGCACCGGCACCCATACCCGGCACCGGCCCCCCCCGGCGGGGGGCTGTGCTCCCCGGTGTCCCCTCCCGACGCTCACCTCTGCGGCCGGAGCGCCGCAGGCTCCGTCGGAAGAAGTTGCCGATGGAAGCCATGGTGGCCCCGGGCGCGGAGCGGCCCCGGTGCGGCGCGGCGCGGCCCGGCGGGGAGCGCTCGGCTTCCGCCCGCCGCGCTTTCGCTTTCCCGGGGGAGGAGGGACGGGACGGGGCGGAGAGGAGAGGAGAGGGGAGGAGGAGCGGGGCGGGGGACGGACCGTACCTGGCACCGGCCGGGCACGGGGAATACCCCACGGGGGCACCTGGGCACGGGGGTCCCGGAGCGCCGGACACGGGGAACCGGGCAAACCGGGCGTGGGAGTCCCGAGAGTACGGGGAAGGGGGGAAGCGGGAGAACCTGGTTGCCGAAGAACCGGGAGCAGCGGGCACGGGGATAGAGGGAGCGCCGGGCACCGAGAGCATCCGGGCACGGTGGTCCCGTGGGCACCGGGAGCATCCCTGGGCACCGGGAGGAGCTGGGCACGGGGGTACCGATAGCACCGGGCACGGGGGGAGCTGAGCACCCCCGCACACGGCGCTGGGCATCCCAGTTGCGAGCCGGGCACAGCCCGGGTAGGGGCACAGGGCATGACTTGGGCGTAGGGTGGGAAACGGGGCAGGGACCCCGGGGACAAGGGGTGGCTTCGTCCTACACCTCAGGGGACAAAACGCCCTGCCCCAAACCTCCAGCACCCCCGCCCCAACCCGGCTCTGCCCCCCTGACTCCTCCGAGCCCTTTTCCCCCCGGGAGCCCTCTGGTGCCAGGGATGGTGCCCAGCACAGCCGCGGTGGGGTCGGGGGTGACACCTCCGTGTTCGGCAGCCTGGACCTCCAGGGGATGGAGGTTTTGGGGTCTCCCACTCTAAAACATGATGGGGAGTCAGCCGAGCCACCCTGACGGTGCCACCGTGCTTTTGCTTCCACAGCCATCGGCTGCGAGCTTGTCCTGGCTCCGCTTGGGAACGCCGGCCGGGTTGTGCTTTCCCTTGGGCTGGCGTTTCTCCATTGGGCTGAGATTTATTCCCCCTCTCAGAGTGACTCAGAGGCGCCTCGGCCAACTCTCGGGCTCGAGGCCGGTTGCCATCCATCTTCGTTACAGGAAGGGAGAGCAGTTCGTTAGAACTGCGATAGGGTGGCCGTCCCATCACAGGCATGCAACCGGGTTGCCGGCGGAGCTGCTCAGCTTTGCTGGGTGGTTTTACTGCTCCAGACCCACCAACGAGGGAACTCTCATTAAAACCAGTGATATCTTTAAAAAAAAATAATCCCCTTTTCCCATCCTCAGCCTGCCCACACCCCTAATATTTCCTCTACCATTTTTAGGCAGTCCTTATGCAGTAATTAAACACCGAAAGGGCTTTGGGCACAGCTATGGGTTATGAGGCCTTTGGGTGTGATGAGCTGTGCACAGTTCTCAGCCCTAATGCCAGAGCATGGCTGTTTGCAGCTGTAGACCAGATTTCCTACACCAAATATCCTCCTTTCTTATTTTGCAATGCTTCCCATCCCCTTTCCTTCCCTAAGCGTGGGTTGGAGCTCAGGGCTGGGGTTGCAGCCAGGAGAAATGGCCTTTGCCAGCTCGCAGAGGTGGTGGATGCTTTCAAAACACATCCCTGCTGGGGCGCGTGCCTCTGACCCGGCCGGGATGCTGCTGCCTCGGTTGGGGTTATCGGGGAATTGCTGGTCCAGGGGATGGTTTCCGACTGATCGTGAGTGGGTGAGAGAGCACTTGTGCTTCCGGAAGGAGAGGGCAGTCTGTTTGCGCACAGGGCTTGTTCTCAGGAGAAATTTCCTCTTGGCACGAAGGGAAAATAAAAAGTTAGGGGTTTTCCCCCTGGATTTTGGAGGAAAATCCCCTGCTTTCCTGGAAACCAGAGCCACCTTGGCAAAACAGCTGCTGCCTTCAGCCAAAAGAAATCCCCAAATTCTTTGATTTATTTTTTTTTCCCATATAAACAAATCTATTCTGCTTTCTCCCTTTAAGGTAAGTCTCTGACTACGATCCTCCCTCGATTCTGCCTTGCCTCTGCTCAGACGGCTTCTGTGCGGGGAAGAAAAGAGCCGTGTTCCCAGCTGCAAAACCTCCCCGCTCCTGAGGAAACACTGTCCCTTTGTGCCCGGCGCACAATCCAGCCAACCTTGCGCTGCTGCAGGAGGTTGAACTTTTGAATATTCCCACTGAAAGCTCCTTTCTGCGGGAAGCCAGCCGCCCACTGGGACAACAAACGGGCACATTGTGGGATCCTCGGGGCTGCCGGCCACCGCGGATGCAGCACTTGCCCATCGCGCTGCTCTGTCGCCGCTGCCAAAGTCTTTTTGCTTCCCTGAGCCGAGCCCGGGGAGTTTTGTGTTTGGTTTTTTTTTTTAGTATTTTTTTTTCCTCCTCGCAGCCCCAGTGCTGATGAATACACGCTGGAATTTGGCTTTCTGCAGGCGTGGAGTGTTCAGACTGCAAATATCCTGCGACTGGGGGACACCGTTGTGAGCATCCCATGGGACCGCATCTCACCGAGACCGGGGGTGTCTTCGCTGCTGGGACACTGCTTGCACCGCAGCCTCCTCCTCCTCTCGAGGAAGGCTCAGCTTTGCTGCCCCTTGCCTCCTCCCACTGCATCTTCCCCCCTTCCCTGTGCTCTTGGCTGGGGGCTGTGTTTCGGGAGGGCGTTAGGGTGCCGGAGCAGCTGGACTGTGCAGCGTGTGAGCGGTTTTTATTTTGCCCATCGCAGCCAGGCTGGAGGTTGGGGCTTGGAGATGGAGGCTGGGGTTTGCCTGCAGCATCACTGGCAGGGAGGTCCCCAAAGGCAGCCCAAGGCTGGTGGTCAGGGTGGGTGCCTTCCTCCCCCCGGGGCTGGGGACCCCAAGACCCTTGTTTCCAACCTTTCCCATGCCAGGGAGTTTCTCCCACTGGATGGCAGCATTAGAGCAAAGAAATGTCTCTGGGAGACCTTGCGGGAGAGGGAAGCTTCCTCCTGAGGGACTTTCCTCTCTGGTTATCAACGCCGGGGAGGTTTGTGCTTGGGCTGAGGACGTGCGGGTTCAGCTCACTTGTGTTTGCACCATTCCTACCACTGATGCTTCGCTCGCTGCTCTGTTCGGTGCTTGGTGATCACTCCCAGCTCCCCAAAACCTGGTGCCATGTGACCTCCTCTGCCTGCTTCTCTTCCCCCTGGTGCTTGTGGGTGCAGGGGGACCTGCTGGGACAGGGGGGCTGAGAGCCAGCTGGGACCCTCCAACCCACCGCTGGGGAGCAAAGCAACCCCAGACTGGGTGAGGAGAGATGCCAGCCCTCATGGGACACCAAAATCGTGGCTTCTCAGCAAGGTGCATCCCCTGTCCCCCAAAGCCAGCCCCGCTCTAACTGCTGGGGTGTGGAGAGCCCAAGTCCAAGTCACAGACCCCAAAGGTTGCACATTTTTGCATAAAAAAAAGAAAAAGCTTTAGGGGCCATTTCTTGCACGGTGTTTGCAGAGGGGGCTGCAAAACTCCTAGGGATTAGAAAACAAAGCTGATTTGGCCACTTTTCCTTCCACCTAATGGTTTTAACCCCGAGCATTTCAATCCACCTTTAGGGTTTCTTGGAGGTGGTGCCCGGCAGAGGGGTCGGGGCAGCGCTGGATGGGCAGGGAGGATTGGTGCTGGGCTGCAGCCCACTTGCAAATATCGTGCAGGGAAACTGCTCCTTTCCGAGGCCGTTTCATGGTCAGGAGGTGCAAAGACGTCTCAGTTTACAGGCTCCCGGCCGGGCTGGCATCGCTGTTTGCAAGCAGGCATCCATAGATGGAAAGGATCGAGCCACAGAGCCCAACCTCAGGTGTAGCACGGGATCTTCCCCAGTCCCTCCCGTACTGAGCCAGTGACCTGTCCTGGGTTAAAATGCCAGCTCTGGGCTACTTTGGCCTTGGGAGTATGTTTCTAGGGTTAATCACCCACAGCGTGCAAAGCCTATGGCTGATTTCCCATCTGGATGCACCTGATTTTGGCTCCCAGGTGCTTGCTGCCCCTTTTTCTGCTGGGTTCAGAGAGCTTGTCCCTCCTCTTCACCCCACAGGCAGGGCTCTGGCGCAGAATTAGCCCTCTGCTGAGCATGGGAAACGCATGGCACGGCTGGAGGCAGGCGGTGGCACAGAATCACAGAATCACAGAATGGTCAGGGTTGGAAGGGACCTCTGGAGATCATCAAGTCCAGCCCCCTCACCAGAGCAGGGGCACCTCCAGCAGTGGCACAGGACAGCGTCCAGGCGGGTTTGGAATGGCTCCAGAGTGGGAGACTCCCCCACCTCTCTGGGCAGCCTGTGCCACTGCTCTGCTGCCCTCACAGCAGAGAAGGCCCTCCTCAGGTGGAGATGGAACTGCCTCTGGTCACCTTTGTGCCCGTTCCCTCTTGTCCTGTCACTGGGCACCACTGGAAACAGACTGTTCCCATCCCCCCGGCACCCTCCCTTTAAGTATTTGTAAGTATTAATAAGATCCCCCCTCAATCTTCTTTTCTCTAGACTAAAATGCCCCAAGTCCCTCAGCCTTTCCTTATATGAGAGACGTTCTAATCCCCTCATCATCTCTCTAGCCCTTTGCTGGACCCTCTCCAGCAGTTCCCTGTCTTTCTTGAACTGGGGCCACTGGGGACCCACCGGGGTCCAACCTCCTGGGTGGCTTTTGCAAAGTCCTGGGCATCCCCACCCTGGAGGGTTGTGGTTCAGTGACCAGTGCTGGGGACGTGGGGGACTGGGAGCCAGGGTGGTGGTGCTGGGGATCACGGTGGCTCACCCCAGAAAGCACTGGACGATGCTGGAGAGGGCCACGGCAGCTGGTGGGGAGCTGTTTTTGCTACCTGATGAAAAAATGGAGGAAACTGGGGATTTTCCAAGCCGGGCCGAGCAAGCTGGGAAGGAGAGGGCAGGGAAATCAGAGGGTCGGTCCTGCTCCTCGGCAGCACGGGGTGAGCGTGGGGGTCCTGCAGCCCCATGCCCAGTGCTGACCCAGACCTTGCACCATCTCCTCCATAGAACAAGAAGCATTTGCAGCTCTGTGTGTTCCCCGGGGGCTGGGGGGACTAGGGGCTACTGGGGTGGTGAGACACCCCCTCCCCAGTTACTCTGGCAGGGCTGCAAACCACAACCCCAAACCGAGCTTTAACCCAAGGAGCTCTGTAAGATTTGCTAATCTTGAAATATTGTTGGCACGCAGAACGGTGATTTACTGCGTGTTTTGCCACAGCGAGTACTTTCCGAAAGGCCATGCTAAGTTTACACCGGAGCTGCCGGGATCAGATAACCAGTGGCTGGCGGCTCCCTCTGTCCTCCCCCCATCCCTCCCAGTTGCCATGCCGGGGTGCAAAAGGACATCAGCTTCTCCTGCGCCCTGCAAGGAAGAGGTGACCATGGTCACGAGCAGTGGAAAAAAATGGACCACCAAGGGTGTTTTTTTCCTCGTCCAGGCGGCCGGGCGGGGTGTGGGTCGTGGACCAGCTTGTGGGAAGATGTGGGCTTGTGGAGAGCCCCGACACTTTGCTTTGCAAGTCCCACTGCCAGGGACAGAAAATAACCAGCCCTGGTGCCCAGCCTGGCTGTGTCCACCTCCCCAGGGGCTTTGCAGGTTGTGAAATTAAATCAGCTTCTCTTCTT